TGGTCACACTTTGCTCTGTGTTGCAGATGCAGGTTAGATCACCTGAGCCCTGAAAGGCCTCCAGTCCCTTCTGCGATTTTCGGTGTGCCCACAAGACCATTTTCCTCCAGTGCAATGGAGAGGAGCCCTGGAGCTGCTCAGCTGCTGGGAGTGTGTCCAGAGAGTCTGGCCATGATGGAGCGGGGCTGGGGAGGGCGCAGCAATCCTTGCCATATGTCTGCGTGGGACAGGAGTCTCCAGCACCGTGGAAAAACAAATCATACGTGGTTTAATGATAGTGATCCACCAAACGGGCAAGCACAGTTAGGGGTCTGCTCCTGTAACGGGACCTACAGCCTGACATTCCTGTCCTATGTGGGGAATATTTCATGCCTGAGACGGGGCTCCACTGAAATCTGCTCACGGAGTGGAGAACTGCCAAATGGCAGTCAGTGGGAAAAATCTGCAGAAAGTCTGGATTAAAAACTCAGTCTTCCCAGGTTTTAGCCACACCAGTAATGCAGACAAGCCATGGGATTCACAACCTGCTTCTAATGGTTGGAGTCCACCCTCATGGGGTTTTTTAAATAATGAAGCAGGGATCCCTCATTTAAAAACACACAAGTGCTAGAGACAGTGCCGTGACTGCTGCCGTGTTACTCAGTGGTTGCAATACTCATCAGATGCAGGGGATGCAGATTTGCCTTGGTGCTTTTCCTGCCCTTGCCCCTCTCCGCAGAGCCTGCTGTAGGCAGTGGGCTCCTGAGCTGGTTGAACCCATCCTGAGGATGGAGAGGGAGGTGAGGCCAAGTGCTTAAGACGGTGAAAGAGAGCAGGTGATGCTATCAGTGAGGGGGTAGGATGCCCGTTGAGCTGGGGAAATCCTAGTTCCAGTCTGCAAGTCAAGGGCTAATTTTAATCTCTTGCCTGTTGGATGTAAAGATTCTGATAGGTACTAAGGTGGGATTTAACTGGTGTTAAAACTCTAGCAACTAAAAGAAATATGGAAATACTCTTTAGGATTACACTTGATAGGGAAAAAAAAAAGCTTTTGTATTAAGCATTGGAAAGGTATTTGACAGGAGAAATAAGAATTCGCTATCTATTTCCCAGTCTAAGGAGGTGAGAGCAAAGAACGTGTATTTTTGCTGTGATGTTTTGGGAGCTTTTGTTGTATTTGGGTTTTGTGGGGTTTTTAGGTTTTTGTTTCTTAAATGTAGTGGTGTTTTGGGAGCTTTTGTTGTTGTTTTTTTGTGGGGTGTTGTATTTGGGTTTTGTGGGGTTTTTAGTTTTTTGTTTCTTAAATGTAGTGGTGTTTGGGGAGCTTTTGTTGTTGTTTTTTGTGGGTTTTTTTGTTTTTGTTTTTTAAATACAAGGCACCAGCTGGAAATGCATTCTAAGCTGTCATTTTTGGTTTTCAGTTGTAGGTAGCGTACATCATCTTTTACACTTACTTACCTCAAGGGCCGCCTTCTCCAGTTCCCTTGATCAGAGACATGTGCAGTCACAGTGCGTGACCTTGTTCTGGGCAAAGTCAAAGGCTTGCCATCAACTGCAGCTGGGACAGGCAGGCCTTGCTGTGACCAGTTAATGTTTAACCTTCTTGTGAACTCTGGCTTGGTTTTACTGTTCCAGCCTTCTGGGAGTGCCTGCTCAGGAAAGAAGTTAGGTACGGAAATGCTACTGGAAGTCTCTGTTGGCCAGAGGGTCAGACTCTGCTTTCGCGCAATCTCTAGAGACGTTGTAGAGAGACCCAGAGCTAACGCAGCCCTTCCAAGCGTATAAATGTCTCAAAATGTGCATACTCTAACCTTCGCTGTGGAAGGAAGGTTTTTAAATCTGTAATCATAGAATCATCATGGTTGGAAGAGACCTCAAAGATCATCAAGTCCAACCGTATACCCAACACCACCATGCCCGCTAAACCCATTAAACCATGTCTTGAAGCGCCACATCTAAACGTTTTTTGAACATCTCTAGGGGTGGTGAGTCCACCATCTCCATGGGCAGCCCATTCCAATGCCTAAAATGTTCGATGAAGCTGCCTGTGTTATATCTGCGGCTGGTTTTAATGGTGAGAACAGGCTGATGTAGACAAGCTGGAGGTTGATGTGAGGAGTCATTCAAAGGATGGGCATGAGGATGAGCACTACCACTGGGAAGGCTCAGGCGGTCCCCTTTCCTTCCTACACCCAGATTTAGTATCTCCAGCACCATCAGGATAGAGAGACTACACAGGTAGGAAGTTCCCTTGCATATCTGCTGCTAGGGTCACCAAAAACTTCCTGTTTCAAGGCCAAGGTGGAGAAGGCCAAGGCTTTTTATGTTAGCAGCAGTCACTCAGGTGTGAACCACAAAGCAGCACGGCAGCGACTGGGAACTGTGAGCAACTGCGGAGCCGATGTGCTGCCTCCGTCCCCATCAGCACTGCGCCGCTGTGACACAGGGAGGATGGAGATGTTTGGGGACTGATTTTTAAGCCATCTTTTTGCAGTTTTGCAGGGGTTTTTTGAGGGAGGTGGGGTGAAGACAAGGTGCCAAATTGAGACCTGACTTTTCATTAGGCTAAACCAGCTGTGTTAAGATGGCTTTGAATAGCAGCAAAAATTGGGCAGGTGCTACCAAGAACCCTTTGACACTCGGAGCATGCTGCAGATGTGCAAAGCACATGGCAGAGGCATGCAAAAAGTTTATTATAATACAAGCAGTGTCATCTGCTGCCTGGTCCATTATCTAGGTGTCTCATTAGGTGGGGAGTAAGCCTGATTACAGAACACTGCTGGTTTGTAAAGTGCCAAGTCAGGCTAATTAGCTGTGTGGGTGGAGTGTTGGTTTCAGGCTCATCAGGAGGGCATCCTCATCCTCTCCTCAATTATATGCATCCAGCAGCGGGGTTGGGTGCAGACGTTTGTTCGTGGGCGCTTCTTCCCTAGAGCTTATGGACAGAAAAGTCAGGCTAAATGGGACACTGAGAGAATGTGGTTTTTTCTTTTTTAGCCTGTCACACCGGGCCTGTGAATTGCAGCAGCACAACTGGCACTTTTGCAGGGCGTAAGGAACGTGTCTTTCTTACCCTGCGGGATATGTGACGGGAGTGGGTGTGCAGTGATGATCAAGTCACCGAGTTAAGCGGCAGGCCTGTGTGACTGATTTACAAATACCAGTGTTCTTTATTTACACAGACATGTAAACAACGGAAGGTAAACAACACCGCCCAGCTCGGTCTAACGAACAGGCTGCTGCTGTTTCACTTCAGGACCTGAGGTGTTTTAGACATTTCACAGAAACTGTATTGACAGCAAACACAGGAAGGCTACGAGGTTACCTCGACTCTTTCTTCTTTGCACGGGCATCGCATGCACGGTGCGGCAGCGTGAGGGAACGGCACCACTTGAGGCCATGAAACGAGTGTATGCAAAGAACCCTCTAAGAGCTTGCCTTAAGGTTGGATGTGGCTGGAGTTAGCAATACTTGTGAGTAATATCAGTGCAACCAGTCTGTACTCTGACAGCGCTTTCCACCCAAGGATCTGAAAGCATTTGTGAACAGACCACGAATCTTTGTTGCATCCTTTGCAAGTTATCCCCAGTTTACAGGCAAGGGAACAGAGGGCCTTCAGATAGCAACTTCCCCAGAGCTCAGGTTTTACTGGTCTTGTCTCCCAACCTTATGCTTTAAACGTAGCACTATTCTTCCTTCCCAGAAGTGTGTCGCTTCTTGGCATTTTAGGACAAGCTTTTGAATTCAAAGTGATGCTCCAAGCACTGCAGGTAGAAGGGCAGCGGAGGGTCCCAGTCACTAGCAGAAGCTGTTTCACTTCAGCAGTGCCTCTGTTGAAAGAGGAGCCGGCTACTCTGCAATACATTGCAGCCATACCCACGCTTTTTCAAGTTCGTCCAAAACCAGAATTAAGGGTAACATTAGCTGCAAAAGACAAACTATTTGAAAACAACTGTACTGAGCTGCTGTCTTGCAAATTTAACTGCCACAGTAAGCCATACACACACTGTGTTTTTCTTAGTCGAAATATTTCAAATAGAAATGTTACACTAAATTTGTAATACAGAAAAATACCTAGTGGAGCAATGAAGAGTTCAGGAAGTTTTGCTGCTTTGTGACAAGGAACAAGTTTCCTTACAGTTTAGCAGCAAAAGCATCAGCTAGGGCTTGAACAGGATTTAATTCTCAGCTGTGAATTCACATTTGATTCCATACACACTTCCTGAAAAAAACCCAGATTGACAGATGTTGGGTTTGTTGGTTTGAGTTTTTGTTGGGTGGTTTGTTGTTTTTTTTTTCTATTGCAGAGTGATCACTGTGGCTTGAACCCAAAACTGGTTTCAGCCTTTCTACCTGTTTCTAACATGAGTAGCAAGATAGACAGGCTCAGCTCATATGCTAGATCAAATTCAAGCATGTAAGAATTGCTGCTAAAAAAGCAGGTGGGAAGGTGGATTTGAGCACAGTATTCAAGTGCTCAGCTGCCTTCTCTTGTGCACGTTATACTTCAAGTAGTTTTCCTTCTTCTGCCCTCCCAGTAAGAACTACAGTGATGCCCTATCTTCAGTTACCAAAGGAAAGGAGATGAATCACCACAACCGTAAGATACACCATTTACAGCTGCCAGTACAACAGCAGGTACAATAAAGACGGAGAAGGAGGCCTGTTTTTCTTAAACAGGCATTTCTGCAATCCTTTCAGTCCGCCAGGTGAAAAGGAAACTTCAGAAATTCTCCTTAAATAAAAGCTATGTACAAATTGCACACATTGCGAACGGAGCACTGAGATCAGTTACAGAAAATAAGATGTACAGTCTTCACTGATAACATCTCTCTTGCTATAAACAGTGATAAACAGCATATGCTTTCTTCAGATGTCAGAACCCAGCAAGACTGAAATATTATGTACACAGGGCTTGTTTGCCTTCTGCCTCCCGCAGCAGAGTCCCTCCAAACTCTGTTTTCGCTTCAGAAAGCTGTGCAGCGACGTTCCCGCGCACCGCGTCTCTCCTGCTCGGCAGATCACAAGAGAGCTGTCATTGCTGTCTGGCTGATTGGTTTTAGGCAGTCTCTGGGCGTTGAGTAACCCTCGCTCCCGAAGGCGTTGGACTGAGGTTTCTGGTAGTCCGTGCCGTAGCTCACGGAGGTCAGAACACCGTTAACTTTGGGTTTGTCGTAGTTTATGACACTCTGGGGTGTCTGATAGTCTCCGTTCCTGGTGTCGGTCTTACATGAACTAGAGAAGCTGCCAGCAGAAAGGGAGTGTTTCTGAGATGAAACGACAGGGACGTTGTAGCCGTTTTCAGAAGGGAAATTATTTTCTCTTGCTATGTGCCGCTCTATGATGGGGGTGGCATATTCGGGCTCTTGGCTGGTCAGGGGCAGAGCGTATTCATGCCGGTTAGCTCTGTGTGGACAGTGATAGTGATTTTCGAACTCTGAACTCCCCCTTCTTCCCTCGTCTTTGGTGTCCATTGGTCGAAAAGTAGATCCTTTCCGTGTTACCGTCCCAGTCCCGATCATGAGAGGCTGCTGATAATCTAAAAGGAAGCATGAACTGCTCAATAAGGCGGTTATTTTATGTATATAATACTTATGTATAGATAGGTATTTTATGTTGAAAATTGACTCGGTTGTTGCATCAAACGCGTGGTTTTCAGGGATGTGAGGAAACCTTTCCCCAACGCAGGTCCTGTGGGCTCTTTCAGCAAGCAAGCATTGCAGAACGTGACAGAAGCTCTTCCACGGAGGAGCTCCAACCCACCACCCCTTTTCATACTCCCTCCCTCCCTTTCCCCACCTACCCACCCAAATAAATTAACATCATTTCTGAGTATACTCAAAAGCCCTAAAAAAAAAAAAAAAAGAGAAGTCAACAAAATATTAGCAACAAACTGGACAAAGGACATCGTGTGAAGATCCACGAACAAGAAGTTTTGCAAAGCAAGTGTTCCGCTTTTGGAATAATTAAAATGCCCGGAGGATTCTTAACGAGCCTGACCAAGCGCCGGCTTTATTTAAAAGGCATCTTGCGGTAGCTGACTGACAAGGAGGATGAAGTAAGGCGGAACGGCAGCCAAGGGAGTCAAGGGAAGTGCAAAACGTGCGAAGGCAGCTCAGCGCTGCTGCGGGCGCGCGAGGGGGGACGAGCCGTGGGAGAAGGGGGACCGGCGCTGCCGGAGGATCTGGACATTCACCCTGGTCAGGGGGATGGCAGGGGTAGAGCTGGGGATGGGCAAGCAGCCCGAGCAGGAGCAAGGAGCGAGATGGAGGAAATGCGGCCTCAAGAAGCGTGTGTTTGCACCTCTAGTCGAGGCAGATGCCAGGCTGCCGTGTAAGGAGATCTGCACTAAAAGGGTTTTCAAAAAAATCCAGTAAAACTATTATGAGAAAATTCAGCGTTCTAACTTTCTCGCTTTGGTGCTAGTGACAATCTCTTACAGATACATACGGTGGCCTGAACAGCTCTAGTATATGACATTGCTAAAGTATCATGTTTTGACGCAGGCGTGAAGAAGTTAGCTCAGTTTCTGTTCTGGCATCGTGGTTCATCTGACATGAGTGTCGAATTCGATCCCATATGTCCTGTGAATCTTTTTGGCAGTTCCTGGCTACATCCCAAACTTCAGTGTGTAGGGTGAAGGTGTTATGATATTTGACTAAGTGAGTGGTGCAGCTCTCCCCGGCGTCGCTGCCGCCATCCCCAGCAATCTCCCTCGCTGGGGATGAAGCATCTCGACTTGCTCCCGGCTGCCTTTGGGAACTGGCAGGCAGCCGGGGATTCGAAAGGAGGGAATTTCATGTAGCATCTTAACCTATATGCAAGTTGCGTGCTCTCTGCAATTAAATTATTAAATGCCACATTTCTGGGCTGCGTTCACATTTTTATTTCATGTTTCTTATTTTTAAGGAGACCGTAGGTAAAATGCTTAGGCTGGGGAGCTGCCTGGCCAGGCTGAGCTTCCCACAAACATGGCAGGAGAGGAGGATGGCGAGAGCAAAGGCTCCGCAGACATGGCCAGGGAGCCAGATAACCATCATTTGTGGGCAACCTTTATTCACTCCCTTTCCTCCATGAAATAAAACTGCTTTATAGGTCTCTGAATATTTACAATGAAAGTTTCTGTAAAGGTTTGAGACCATCTTTGAAAGATATCCAGGACAGCACCATATGGAATTGCAGTAACCTTCCATTTGGTTTTTTAAATGTATTTCTCTGCCAAACGCTTTGGAGAAATTCTAAGGAATTTCCAAGGTCTGGAAGCTGGAAACAGCAAATTAATCTTTCTGGAAGATTGCTGCTCACTGATCCCATGAAATGGCTGTCTCGCTAGCCTTTTCAGACAGACTAAACTAGGCAGGGATAAGATGTGTTAAGAGGATGAATTAAAAAAACTATCCCTTTGGGATGCAAATAGTACTGATGCAGGGATTTACTCTATCCAAACAGTGACCTGGAGCCAAGGTAGCACAGGACAGAAGCACTGTGGTTGGGTTTTTTTTCCCTTCTCTCTCATCTACCTGCTTCCACTTCAGGGGGCTTCATCTCCAAAATAGTTCAGGCACCAGGAGAGCTGCACAGGGATCTGGGCACGATTTCCAGCTGGGCGTGAAATCCCACCACAACCCAACTAAGTAATTTTTCTGTTTGCTCAGCAGCAAAGGGCATTATATTTTGTTCCATTTCCAGAGACACTTGTGTTTAAATCAAAACACAAAAATTAGCCAGGAAGGGCAAACTAACCTATCCTAGGTACATTCTTGCACCTCATCTGTGCCTGAGTGCCTGCCCCAGTTACCTTCAGCTGTAACTGCTTCAGAGTCAGGAAATCTTTCCCAACAACTCCAAGAAAAAATTTCCAAAATGGTGGTCTTTTTCCCGCTAATATATTTAGCTACATCACCATATGTCTGGGATGAAGACAGATAAATCAGGTCCTGGGCCTCAGCTTGCGGGAGAGCTGGAGTTCGTGCCATTGCTCCCCATCCCTCTCCCTGTGACCTGCCCTGCATGCAGAGCAAAACGAATGCGTCGCGGGGGAAGCGATGGTTACCTGCCATGGTGCTGGTGACCAGGTCTAGTTTTTGTGGTGTCTCCTTCTCATTATTATAGCTGATGGTAAATTCAGTTGACTGATGTCTGGTGAAGGGCTGCTTGATTTGTTTCCAACAACCTATGATAAAGAAATAAAAATAGAAGGCTCATTAGCAAGTTAAGTGCTTACAATCAGAAGGCTTATCAGAAAGTTTAATTTTTGGTGTACTCGTTGCTGTCTATATTAAAGTAGTTAAAAAGCAAGACTAAAACGGGCTGTTTGTTAAAAAAAAAAAAAAAAAAAAAGCCCCCTAAATTTGGAGGGTGAAGGGGAAGAAGTGAATCACCAGCTGGGACTTCAAAGTGAAAACAAAACTTTATAGAGAATTTTCTTGGCAAGAAGGGCTCAGACTCTGTAGGTGTCTGCACTGATGCTTTAATGAAGTGTATCAGTAAAATACCAGCTTTAAATCAGTGGCATGTTTTACCGTTGCTTATGTGACAAAAACAATGCTTAAAATTTCTTTTTTTTCAGCAGACTGGTATGGCTGCCATTTCCTTGGTATCTGAGTGCTTGCACTCCTCAATTAATTTGTTCTCACAACACCCTTGTGAGACAGAAAAGAAGAAATCCACCGTGTCAGGCACTTGCCTGGAGCCTGCGACAGGAGAGCTGCGGAGGGGTGGGTTCGGCTTCCAGCTTCCCAGGTCCCAAGCCTGGTTCACAAGGGCTTAGGAGCCTGATTTATGAAGCACACAGGCAACAAACGAACTGACTGGGTAAGAGCCTATCTCCGATTTCTTGGGATTTGTCCTCATTAGCAAAGGAGAGGATTATGATGTGACCTTGAAAACTCATATTAGCAAATATGATGTTAAGTACAAATTAATTTTCTAATGAGGGCGAGCTGCAGTGGGTGAGAGCATTCCTTTCACTGACGTCAGCACCTGGTGAGGGATGAAATTTCGGAGCTGAGCTATTGCAAGGCACTTGCCAAGAGACATGTGAATTGCTTAGTGGTTTCTCTTTTTATGGAAAGCTGAGAATCAGAAGGATATTCCTCTACAGAGTTGGCTGGCCAGGAAAAACAGCTAAACCCCAGCTTCTAAGCTGACGGGAGACCCCACTCTAGAAAGCGTTATTGAGCAAGACAAAGAATATTCTTCACCAGGGTTTTGCAGGCATCTTCTAAAGCAGAGTCCTCAAGTCGATCCCCTATTCAGATTTTACACATGAAGTACCATTCAGCATCGTTAGGCTTTATAAATACAGTCCCAACCAGGGAGGGCAGATGGAAATACTAAAGCCATAAAAAATTATCAGCCCTTGCTCTCTTGGAGAAAGGCAGTCCCCTCTGCTGGGGGGGAAAGAAAAGAAAGCAGCAATTTTCTGCAAAATAGGTATTTTGGAGGAGGGAAGGAAAGGGAGGGCACCTGGGAGCACTCTGACATGCTAATTTATGCACTCTGTACAATAGATCTTTTGCTAATTGCCTTTCTGTCATAGAAACCAAATTATATTGTTTCTCAGGGCACTGCGCTAGGATGACACAAGTGGGACTATCTTTTGCTGTTTCCCTTGTATGAAGAGGTGAATTTGAATGAGGAAACGTGGATGCTATTTCAGAAGCATTTCATACTTAGTTGCATAAACCCCTTCCCGTTGACCCAACGGACAGGACAGGACGAAGAGCATGATTCTCCACTAACCTGATTTCTGAGCACTGGATAATCCGTAAGAAAGACCTTTGGCTTCTCGCCTGTGAGGAAAAGAAAGCATTTATAAACATTTGCACCCATGGCGTTTCGGCTTTGTGCCTTAGCTCCAGCAGAGAGAGCCTTTGTGTTTAGTGGCTGAGGACAACGCTTCACTTTCGAGTTCCTTTGAGGCTCGTGTTTACTTAAACGTAAGGCATGCAAACCAGCCTCGTGACATTTTGTTCTGCCCCATCTATATGCAAGTTGTGAGTGCTGGTGGTCGAATTTCTTGTGTCTGGCACTCATCGACTTGATGTGCCTGTGTCTATGTATGTCACCCCAGGTTATGTTTTGGGTCTGCTCTTCTGAATTCTTTGGCTAGTTAGATGTACAGGGAATCCAGCACAGAGCTGGGTACCGCTGGTGATGAAGCAGCATCACCAGAGCATTGCTTATACTTCCAAATCCCCACCTGGTGACAGAAGCGTCTCCCAGCTCTACATGCGAGCGCAGGTTCGTGCGACTGGACACCCAGCAGG